TGTCCAAAGTCGTTTATCACCAAAGCTGATTGGCCACGCAGCATCAGGGGAGGTAACAACTGATGATGAGTGTGCAGACATATGGCTGGTCCTGTAAAAAGTCGCCCTGTAAAATGACCTTTTAAGTAATTGGTTGGTCCTTAAGCCCTGCCCCAGTAATCATGTGGTCTTGTGCTTTAAAAGGCTTTGCCATGTGCCAATAAACGGAGTTCTTGCTTGCTTGACTTGACTCCCCGCTGTGTCTGATTGTCTCCGGGATTGGGAGGCTGGGGAACGGGCGAGCGGCGCACTTACCTTTCTTCGGACCCAGTCCATCCTCGTTAGGGTGGACTAAGACCCAGCATCTACATGTAAAACCAGGATGTAATGCACCCTCAAATTTGCATTTAAAAATTTCAGCATTAGGGGGTGGGCATGTAGCATAACAGTTAAGACACCCTGTCCCAAATCAGGGTTCCTGAGTTCAATTTCTAGCTCTGGCACCTGGGTCCAGCTGCACGATAATATGGACCCTGAGGGGCAGCAGTGATGGCTCTAGTAATTGGTTTCCTGCCACTCACAAGGGAGATCTGGATTGAATTCCCAGCTCCCAGCTTCAGCCAGCCCAGGTCATTGCAGGACATTTGGGCAATGATCCAGTGCATGGGACACCTATCTGCCAACTCTTCTAATTCTCTGCCTCTCAAATTAATAAATATTTTCTAAAAATCCAGTATTAAAATACTTTGGTAGAGGATCAAAAAATAATGATGGTCTAAATTCATGGTTTATTCTAACATAAGGAAACCTTATTTCACAAAATAGTCACTGCTTATCCTGACACATTTTACTATCTTAAGACATGATTGATTATAACTAGTAGGTCAGGGCATGAAATCTGTATGCTCAGTCCCAGAGAAACAGTTGTTGCTTTTTCGCTTGAGATCCCACATTGTTTGTTTGTTTTTCAATGGATTAGCAGGGCAGGTTACCTTATTGGCATTAACTATGATACAGAGAAGAATGTAATGCAGCTGTTTCAATATTTGGTAAGAGATATGCTAAAAGTCTGCCTGTACATAAAAGGATATGGCATATTCCAACTCATGAATTGTATTAACAAGAAGTATTGTTAAGATGTTAATCATGGTCACTAAATGTGCTGTTTTACATAAGGAAAACAAGCAATCGCTGGACAAGATTTTTTCATTCTCTGGTAAACGAGCTTATAGTTTATGACCCAGCATGTCATTCTCCTAGGAATAGACTCCAGAACAATTCGTGTAATGGGAAACTTACCCAAAAAGAGTAAAACACTGACTCCCAATGTACATCAACACCATACAGGTATACCTCACTTTACTGTAATTTGCTTTATTGCCTTTTCTACAAATTGAAGATTTGTGGCAACCTTACCACCAGCAAGTTTATCGGCACCATTTTTCTGACACCATGTGCTCACTTTTTGTCTCTGCATCAAGTTTTGCTAATTCTTGCAACATCTCAAACTTAATCACTGGGGCCAGCACTGTGGCGCAGCGGGTTAACACACTGGCCTGAAGTGCCAGCATCCCATATGGACACCAGGTCAAGTCTGAGATGCTCCTCTTCCGATCCAGCTCTCTGCTATCGCCTGGGAAAACAGTAGAAGAGGGCCCAAGTCCTTGGGCCCCTGCACCCATGTGGGAGACCCGGAAGAAGCTCCTGGCTCCTGGCTTTGGATTAGCGCAGTTCCTGCCATTGCGGCCAATTGGGGAGTGAACCATCAGATGGAAGATCTCTCTCTCTCTCTCTGCCTCTCCTCTCTCTGTGTAACTCTGACTTTCAAATAAATAAACAAATAAATCTTTAAAAAAACTTAATTATGATTATTATATCTGTTATGGTGATCTGTGATTATGGTCTTAGATGTTATTACTGTAATTGTTTTGCAGTGTCATGAACCATGCCCATATGACAGCAAAGTTAATCAATAAATGTGTTTGTGTTCTAGCTGCTCCACTACTTGGCTGTTCCCCCATCTCTCTCCATATCCTTGGGTCTCCTTGTTCCCAGAGACACAACAATATTGAAATTAGGCCAACTAATAATCCTATGATAGCCTCTAGATGCTCAAGTGAAAGGGAAGACTTGCACATCTCTCACTTCAAACCAAAAAGTGAGAAACGTGTAATCTTAGTAAGAAGGCATATTGAAAGCTGAGATAGGCTTTATGGCTTCTAGTACCAAACAACAAAGTGGTGAGTGCAAGGAGAAGTTCTTGAAGGAAATTAAAAGTACTTCTCCATTGAACAGGTGAATACTAAGAAAACCAAAGAGCCATATAGATGATATGGAGCAAATTTTCATGGTTGGTTGGAAAATCAAATTGGCTATAACACTCCCTGAGGCTAAAGACTGCTGCAGAGCAAAGTCCAGTCCTGATCAATTCAGTGAATGCTGAGAGAGGTGAGGAAGGTATAGGAGAAAATTCTGAAGCCCAAAGAGGTTGATTTATGAGATTGACACAAAGAAGTCATCTCCATAACACAAAACTATGAGGTGAAGCACCAAATGCTGATATAGAAGTGGCAGCAATTTATACAGCAGATCTAGCTAAGATCATTGAAGAAGGCAGATACACTAAACACTGGATTTTCTATGTAGACTAACCAACCTTACATTGGAAGAAGGTGGCATCTAGGACTTTTATAGCCAGAGAGAAGAAGCCAAAGCTTCAAAGGATGGACTGATCCTTTTCTTAGAGGCTACTGCAAATGGTGACTGGCAACTGAAGCTACTGCGCATTCCTCATAAGAAAAATCCTAGGACTTTTGAAAGGATTACACCAAATCTCCCTTGCCTACTCTCCGCAGTACTTGTCTTCCTGCCACTCATGTGGGAGATACAGATGGAGTTTCCAGCCTGGCCCCAGTTGTTGAGGTACTGGAAAATGAACCAGCTGATAAGTTCTCTTTCTCTGGCTCTCGCTTTCTTGCCCTCCTTCCCCCTCCTTCTCTCTCTTCCTCTCTCTCTTCTTCTCTCCTTCCCTCAGCTCATCTTTTTGCCTTTTAAATAAACAGAACAAAACAAAAAGAATAAGAAGCTATACTTAAGAAGCATGTCTTTTATATATTTTAAAAAAGGATGGATCCTGTTCTTTTTCTTAAACTGGGAGGGGGGACATGTGTCATGTTCTGCTGTATGTTTATGTACCTTGTGTGAGCTAATAACAAAGAGCAATGCCTTACTTTGTTCATAATTTCCCTTCCCCAAAATTTGATTCTCTGTATGGTCCAAAGTTAAGTGCAGAATAATAGCAAATTTAACACTACAGTTTGGGGGTAGAAAATGACCATCATCCCTCGAAGTCTAATCTAATATGATCACTTTATAACAAATAATTGGCAATTATAGATTTTTGTGCAAAGTAAAGCCTGTCAGTTTGTTCACTTATCACTGATGCTCATAACAGAATGCTGAGAGCATTTCTTGGAAAAAAAAACTGTGTACATAGAAATATTTTCTTAGGTGTTCACTCTCAAATCAAGGAAGACAGAAATGAAGCAAAAAGCAAAAGTTCATAATATCAGGCCTAACCCAATCACAATACTATAGGATGTAAATAGACATTTGTAAATCTCTTTGTGCCAGTCCCAGAACCAAGGTGGTGGTAATCTTCATAAGAGGAGCAGTGGAGATGCTTCTGACTGGGTGCTTCCCAAGAAAGGTAACTCAAAGTTCAGACTTCATGCATTAAAATACAGAAAGCTAGAGGGCAAGCAGCATTAAGACAGCATACTGCAAAGTCATCTGGACCAGCCTCGGAGTTCCTGAAAGGATTTCCCAGATAGGAGCATCTAAGCCTGATGCTTAAGAAAGAAAACACATGGAAAATGTAGTGCAGGAGAAGAGAGCTCTAGGAAGTACAGGTGGTGAGTTTGGAAAATTTAAGATTTCCCTGAAGCGATCTGCAAAGATGATCTGATTGAAATCATAAATTAGGCTTGGATCCCAAGTTCCTGGTCATCATCCGTCTCCACAACTGACAATGGGGCCAGCACAGGGCAGGATTGAGTCTAGGCTGTGGAGTCTCAGAGACAGCAGGACTGGGTCCTTTTTTGTCTCCAGGGTCATGGACCAGCTCTCAATTTCTATAAAGCTGGGATGATGACGCTGCTTTCTTTGGGTTGCAGGGATTAAATGTTTAATTATTATTACTGCAGCCAGTGTGACCATTCCAAAATACAACTCCTGCTTCTTCATCATTTAAAACTCAACTACTAGGACCCCATTACACAGAATAAATGCTCATACATCTTAGCATGGCTTTCAGTCTCTTGGTGATTTGTCCCTGTCTTCTCTTTCCAACCTCATCCACCACAGTCCTTCAACCACATGAAACAAAACTCAATTCCCCAACTTCCTCTGCTTGCTCAGTTTTGCCTGCAGCACACATCTCCCCACCCTTCTGCACCAGAAGACCCAGGGCTCAGTCTGACAGTCTAGAAGAGGAATCTTTTCATTTAACATATCTGTGTGTATACATCTACAACTACACATACACACATTCTCTAATTTCATGTGTTTATGATACTAAATACCACCCGAGAAGGTAAACTTTAAAATTAGTTTAATATGTTCTGTATATCAACACAATGTGCCCACCTAATTCATGTGGACCAATAACATCAACCAATTTACTGTTTTCTTTGAAGCAATTTTTAAAAACATGGCAGTTGTCTACCCATCTGTTGGGAAATGGCTGTTATTATACACATATTTTTATTATTAAATATTTCAAGTTTAATATAAAATATACCCAATCATAAAAGAGAATCAGACCAAGGAGAGCCATTTTGCCACACATCAGGGTCAAGATAGGAAGTTTTTCTATCGGTCAACATTAGATGATGTTGAAAAGCAGATCACAGGGGAAGGCGTCCCAAGAACTTCAGGACCCTCTGAGGTTGCTATTGATCTGCAGGATGTCACAGTGTGACTACTGTACCACGCGACTACAACCAGAGGACGCCCCTTACCTCAGCATCAAAGCGTGGATCCTGGTAGGCATCGCTGATGTTCACTGGAAGGCCTGTTGAAGCAACCAGCTCAGCAACGCTGTTATTTATGAGCCAGTCAGAGTATGATGATTTCTCCAGGCTTTCTTTGAAACTATTAGAGCAGCAAGGCAGGCAGGAAGAAAAGAGAGAAGCATGTTTACTTGAAAGCAAACCCTGTGAAGTTACACCAATAGCAGGGTGACTTATCCTCATGAAGCAGGGAAAAGTTAGTCACAGAGCAATAGTGATGAAATTATCAGTAGCCACAGCCAAATGACTTACCTGCTATACTGTAAAATAATGAAAACCATGGGTAGGAACTCTGTATCATAGATTCTATGACACAGACAGCAATTCTAGTTTGTTTTTAGGCCCCAAAGCAGGCAAAAAGAAAGTAGATGACCAATGCTATAAATAAAATTCCACCAACCTCCTCAGTCTGCCCAGAATCCCCTTAATGGAATAGATTACATGTTTTGGGACTAGAAAAAATGAAATCCAAGAAGAAGGCAAAATCAAGAAACAGACCATTTAAAAATATAAATGTAGCATACAGCACATCTAGATTACATGTAATCCTGGAATCATTGTTTTATCTTGGGAAAATTTTGTGTAGTTTCAGAAGTATGTTTCTTAACAAAATCAAAATTTCCCACCAAAGAAACTTCACTAAATGCTACTGAATCCCCAACATTAATCATTTAAGTGATCTCTACATTTAATTTGAACAAAGAATTTTGTGCTAAATAATTTTGTGAACTTTCTCTTATACTACTTTCACAACAGATATTAAATTTATTTATGTATTTTTTCTACAGGTACATATTGAGTACTGTTGGATATGCAAAAATAAGTAATATGCAAACTAGCTTTTTCAGGGATAGCTTTCATGGAGAATGCTTGATTTGTGGTTTGCTGGGTGATAACTGAAATCATGTGAATGAATGAAAGATACTAAGATAATGTTTTCCCTATTACATTTGTTGGAACCCCAGTTTCCATGGGATGTTAATGAATGTATTATAGCAAGAAGAACAACTGTATTAACATTTTCACCTGAACTGCATTATATGTAAAAACATAGTAAACACTCCGAGTAGTCATTATTGGGTACTAATGTGTTCATATGGAATTTATGCCAGACTGAGTATGTAGGCAACTGGCTTGCAGGGGTCACCAGATGCAGGAGTAAGTGGGGAGCATGGATATTATTTATTAACCTTAATATGAACCATCTGCAATGATTCCTGGTCTGTGCCATAAGTAAATTCATGACATTATTCATCCCTTATTGCATATCACGCATTAAAGGTGCATAAACTTTTTTCTATAGATCCCTGGTTGAAAAGTGAAAGTTTTGATAAACAGCTGAGTCTTGCACTTCTTAGATGGTGCCTAAATCAAAGAATCAAAAAGACTGAGTACTTCAAAGAGAAGATGAAGCTTTATTTTCTAAAACGAACAAAGAATGAAAACGCCCCTCCTGTATCTGTTGACTGTTTTACACCTGACAGAAATGAAATGCAACGTTACGCTTTAATTAATGCAAAGTATAGAAAGAAACATGATAATGCACCTAATATGAGGATCTAACTTAATGAAGTCATTTCTAAGCATACAAAAGAGTGTGGACTAAATCCGGACATTTCTTTCAGGGATTAATTGACTTGTCAGTTAATTCTATGCTGTCCGATACTTTATTTCTTTTTTTTTTTTTAATCTGACTTAACTTTACAAGGTCATTGTATTTTTTTTTTATTTTTTTATTTTTGACAGGCAGAGTGGATAGTGAGAGAGAGAGACAGAGAGAAAGGTCTTCCTTTGCCGTTGGTTCACCCTCCAATGGCCACCGCGGCCGGTGCGCTGCAGCTGGTGCACGGTGCTGATCCGATGGCAGGAGCCAGGTACTTATCCTGGTCTCCCATGGGGTGCAGGGCCCAAGGACTTGGGCCATCCTCCACTGCACTCCCTGGCCACAGCAGAGAGCTGGCCTGGAAGAGGGGCAACTGGGACAGAATCCGGCACCCTGACCGGGACTAGAACCTGGTGTGCCGGCGCCGCAAGGTGGAGGATTAGCCTAGTGAGCCGCGGCGCCGGCCCTGATACTTTATTTCACACTATCATCCTTTAAGTGTCCTGTGATCACAGAGTTTGAAGAATCTGATGTAGTGTGAGCTGGGACAGTGGGAAGAGCTGCAGTGGGATCCTGGAAAGCTCTGTGTAGAGGAAGAACCTGCAGAGAGGTAGAGTAGGGGATGAGATGGCAGGGAACAGGGGACCACGGAAGAAGTCAGTTTTATAAACACATGTCAAAAACCTTTAAGTTGAACCTTTCAAAAAGGGGAAGGAATGACTGGAAGGGTGAGAAAGGAACAATCAGATCAGAAGACACAAACACAGCAGAGTACAAGGGGATGTCCTCGGCACAATGAGTCATCATACAGTGGAGAATAAGACTAGGAGATCAGGGCTTATAAGAGGAGTCATTAAGTCATTGAGACCTTAGTTATAGGCAACAGAGAGAGCTGTGACTTGATCTGTGCTTTTAGGAAGCTTAATCCGTGGGCAGTGAGTGAGAAGAACTGACTAGGAGAGGTTAAAGGGGGAGAAAGTTCTCTTAAGATGACAGCAATCATGCAAGTAGGAGGTGACGATGGTGATGACTCAAGAGGGTACAGCAGAAGATTCCACAGGGCTCAGTGGCTGGGCACTGGTGCCTTAGAGTTTGCTCCCGAGTACCTGTGTAACATCAGTAGAAGTGAACTGTTTGGAAAGGGCAGAGAGTTGGGCAAAGATGACAGACATTCTTTCTGGGACATATTCATTGCTGAAAATCTAGGACCAGAACCTACATCAGTCTTCAGGACTGAAAATACTGACAAAGATATGGCATTATCCTCATGGAGATAAAGTGGATGAGATCACTCAGGGAAAGAATATATAGGGAAATATATAGGAGAAGGAAGATAAAAAGGCAGTAATAGAAGATAAGGGAGAGAAGAAACACAAAGCTGAAAGCTATCACCTACTGTGGGACAATGAGGCTTTGCATAACTAACTCGTTTCACCATCATGTAAATCCTATAAGATGGGTTTAATTCTCTACAATTTTTGTTTCAAAAAAATGAGGTACAGAGATGCATAATAACTTTCTCAAGTGGAGATATGATTTGCATCTACATCTAGTTCCAAAATCTTAGATTATTCTATTTTTCCCATTGCTTTTCAGAAAAAGTTAATGGGCAGGGGTAGAGCAAGAATTGCGAATTGTCACCTAGATAAAAAAACGGAGGAGCAGTCAAGATCAGAGAGAGTTTCAGAAAGATGCTGAAGAAAATAAGCACTTCATTCAAAGGAAGAGAGGGAGAAGAATTGGATTTGATAATTGAGAATGGGATCAAGTCTCCACTTACAGAATTTCCGAAAAAGATACATTAACAGCTATTGAGCAAGGGTTTCCAAAAGATTCACACTAAATCTAAACATGCTGGGAGTCTGGTTTAGTTCAGGCAGACTAATGCATTGCAATCATTCTGAAATTGATGAACAATGTAGAATGCCCTGTTGAATGGTTTCTTGAAAGAATAAACTATGGTTCTGTCCTCAAGGAGCTTGTGACCTGGTTGGGGAGATGAGAAGTAAACACACTGATATTTAAATAACAATACTTGTCTTGACTGTTGAGGAAGTTTCTTTTTTTTTTTTTTTTCCTTCATACTATTTCTTGAATCTTTAGTTACTGTAGGGTTAATCTTATGTTTATAAAGTTAATTGAAAGTAGATCTTTGTAAAAAATAAGAATGGGAATAGGAGAAGGAGGAGGAAGAATGGTGGGAGTGAGGGAGGGAGGGAGTATACCGCGGGAAGAATCACTATGTTTCTAAGTTTGTATACATGAAATGCGTGAAGTTTGTTCACCTTAAGTAAAAAGTTTTTAGGTAAAAAATAAACACTACAAAAATTAAGATGACTAGTCAAATTTTGAATGAAAAATTTGTCACTTGATTATGTCAGCAAAGTGGCAAATCAATTTTACCAATCATGAATGCTGCAATCCAGGGAGGGAGAAATGACTTCAAGTGTTATAATGTAGGTGAAGTTTCAGAGAAGAGCTAAGGTTTGAAGAGACCACCAGCTGTTAACAGTGCAGACAGATTTTCTGAAAATCACCTGTGCATTTCTTTAGTTTACTGTTAGCACGGGTACAAAAATTAAGGCCTTGGGTGATAGGATGCTCAGAGAGAAGGAAATTTGATTTGTTACTCTTGATGTTTACATCATTATATAAGTCTGTTTGGGTTGCTATAATAAAACACCATAAACTGGATGGCTTGTAAACAATAAACATTTATTTCTCACAATCCTGGAGGCTGCAAAGACAAAGTCCAAGGGGCTGGGAGATTTGGTGTCAGCTGCCTTCCTGCTGTATACTTACATAGCAAAAGGGGTGAGGGATTTCTCTGGAGTCTGATAGATGGGCACTAATGCCTCTCTGGAGGGTGCACTGCTAGGTCCTGATCACTTCCCAAAGGCTCCACTTCCAAATACCCACAGGTGTCCTTTTTTTGAGGTGAGGGGACATAAGAACCTTTAGTCCATACGAGTCTAACCTTCTGAAACCCAATGTTCTATGTTGACACAGAATCATAAAACGGAATGACAGCTTTCAAAACCCTTGCCCCTGGGGCAGGCATTTGGCAGGGGAGTTAAGATGCTGGTTGGGAAACCTGCAGCCTACACTGGAGTGCTTGGGTTTATTTCCTGGCTCCAGCTCCCCATTCTGGTTTCCGGCTAGCGTGGACCCCGGGAGCAGGCAGGTGATAGCTCAGGCAGTTGAGTCCCTGCTGCCCATATGGAAAATCTGGATTCAGTTATTAGCTCCTGGCGTCTACCCCAGCCTTGGCCATTGTGGGCAACTGGGGAGAGAGTCAATGGAAGAGGACTCTCCCCCCTACCCCTTATTTCCTCCCTCCTCATTTTTTCTTTCCCTCCCTCTCAAACAAATGTATAAAAAAAAACCTTCCTTTTTTTACTTTTAAAAACAATAATTTTGTATTGTAATTAATACCACAAATTTGGAGATCACACATAGTTTATTCAAATGCCCCTTTT